GAACTGCCAAGAAAGGAGGGGGGTGGAGTACGTGTTGTTATAAATTATTTCATTTCGTTCTGTCCCCCATATGATTTCCTGAGGCAATCCTCGTAATGCAATTATCTTCGGTATTTTGAAAAGCATCCTTATTTCACAATAAGGAAGCTAGGGTTTTAGAAATCACACTTTGTGTACTTAGAGGGTAGAGTTACAATGCCCAGGGCATGAGGCCCTCTTGGGTGCAGATTTCAACACAGGCCGCCTTCCCAGCCTCAGCCTCATTCCGCCTCTCATTGTGTTTTTAGTTTACAGTGAACTTTTTGAAGACAAAAAAACGCCAATGTATTTAACCCCTTACCAGGCACTGTTTACCTTTAGACTTCAAATACATACGGATGATTGAAAGGAGGGAAGAAAATCTTAAGACCTTTCTAGATGTTACTGGGAATTGTTACCTCCTCTTTCAAGGGCCCAGGCAGCTCCCAGCAACTCCCTGTCCTTCCCTCTCAAGATAAGAAAAGCCTGAAGGCCTTGAGCCCAGAGCACTAAAAAAAAAAAAAAGCTCTATTTTTAACGTCTTGAGGAATCTCCATACTGTTTTTTGGAGTAGCTGTACCAGCAAAAAAAAAAAAAAAAAAAAAAAAAAAAAAAATATATATATATATATATATATATATATAAATTTTTAAAAATCAAAAAAAAGAAAAAAAGAAAGAAAGAAAGAAAAAGAAAAAAGCAAAGCCTGAAGGACATTGGCCTCAACAAACCAAAGAGACATGAAATGCGTGAAATGTGCAGAGTTAGCTCTGACTGAGTCAGCGTGACTTGGCGAGCGGCTGTCCAAATACAAGGTGCACTGTTCGGGAGCAAAGAAATCTGGTTGAACAACTTCACTTCTTTCTGGATGAGGGACTGAAATTAAGCCTTGCAAAGGGACAGGAAATTTGAGGACATTAATGTCAGGGGCCCACTAAACACAACCCTCCTGACAAAGGGGGAGAGAAAACCCAGCCGCCGCCCCACACAGTGTGGGTGCCTCTCGGGATCTTTGTCCAGGGCACCCACACATTTACAGCAACACTTAGGAGCTGTTTTCAAATCCCCAAGTCTCTTGATTATTCTCCTAGATTCACACCAGACGAATGTTCCTCCCTTCCTCTAGGTTCTACGATGTCCTTGTGTGCACCATCCCCAACAAACAGAAACACCCTCTCTTGTGTTTTCAAGTAATCGATGACCAGCCCATTCTTGCTTTGAAAAGTGGGAGCCTGAGCCAAACAGGCTGTTTATCATTTTCAAAATGGGTCGTTCCAAATACCAATTCTGTGTTAAAATTTAAAAAAAAAACAACACCTCACGACGCCAAAAGATTGAAATATGTGAAGATTCAGTCTGGCACTAATAGAAAGAATACTCATTTCTTTATTTGAGTATCCCATATAAGTCAGCCTACCTCCTTCCCAACAGCCTTATGGAAAGCTGCGCGGGAAGGTGGTGGTGTAGGAAGACCCTGAACAAACCTCCTCCCACAGACACCAGATCTGTAGCTTCATATGGAACAACTCCCTTTGAAGAAGAGCTGAAAACCGGCCGAACTGCCCCTCCACAACAAAGGATGGAAAGACCACACCGAGGTGGGTAGGAGATGCAGAGACACGGTCTCGCAAAAGCCGCCCCCCGCCCCGCCCAGCACAGAGACTCACAGCAGGGAGGGATCTCACAAGGGCAGTTTCTCCCAGAGGAGTGAGGGGATTGTGCCCCCTACCAGGCACCCCAACCCTTGGGACCTGCACCAGAGAGATGCGCCCCCAAAAGGTCTCACTTAGAAAAAACAGTGGGGCTTCCTTAAGTCCAAGAGGGATGTGGTCTCTCTCACATAGAGACCCAGGACAAAAGCAAGTTTGAAAAGCATCTAGACTGTATGTGAAGGAGCTTCATTTGCTAATCTTCGAGCATCTGCCAGAGGGGCGCGGGACAGGTGGGACGCTCTCCAGAGATGAGCACAATTTTTGCTCTCTCTCTCCCTGCTAGCGCAGGCAGCGCCCAGAGACAGGGCACTCTCCCACTGCCGTGGGGTGAATGATCCCGGTGTTCTCCCATTGCCTGGCCGAAGCCAGCGGGCATGTGAGCTGCTCCACGCTCCTGCTGCCAGACTGGGGCTGGAGGCTGCAAGTGGTCACAGCGTTCTCCCACAGCCTTGCTGCTGAGGGGCAAGAACAGACACGGTGCCCTCCTGCAGCCCCACCGAGGCCAGAGGGCACGCACAGCCCAGGCAGTCTCCCAGGGCTTTTCTAAAGCCGGTGGGTGCGCTCCACCCCCTGCGCTCTCCAGCTGCGTCGCAAAGCCAGCAGGTGCATGCAGCCCACACAGAGGGCACCCATTGATCCCCTGGCCCTCGTGGCCAGGGGGCGCTTGTGTTCCTGGGCTCCATGGGGCTATAACAATTGCTAAGACAGTTCCTGGCAGCCTACAACCCCCAGCGCCCTGCACAGACGGTAGACTGAAGCACATCCCCAGTCTCCCTGCGAAAAAGGCCTGTTTACTTGTCCTGGAGCTTTAGCCTGAGGGGCAGACTTCCTGTTTGCCACACAACCAGGGGTTATGAAGGTGTTCTCAGGGAACACAGGCTGGGAGGCACCACCCTTGCAGTCCTGGCCTTGCTTCAGCTCTGTGGTACCTCCTAGGAAGGAGCTTATATATTGGCTAGAACCCTGAGTTTTGCAACCTCCATCCAAAGGACACCTTTGGATCTCCTGGCCTGGAGGCCAGCAGAGGTTATGATTATGGTCCCACAGGACTGTATCTATTTGCATACTTTAAAAGCTGCTGCCTATGGGTCTGGCTTCCAATCAGCCTGAAACTAGGTTCTAACAGATCCTTCCCTTTGGAACATCAACAGGTCTTGACACACCAATGGAACCCTATCAAGAATAAATGAGGTTGCTTGGGCAATCACAAAAGTTGGAAAGATAACCAAGACCTAGGGCAAGGTTAAGTGACAAGGTTCATCACCCACACAAGGCCACTCCTTTAAGATGGGGAGAGGCTGCTGTTTAGAAACATATAGAAATGAACACAGAGTGGGATGCCTGGGTGGCTCAGTCGGTTAAGTGTCTGCCTTTGGTTCAGGTCATGATCCCAGGATCCTCGGATCAAGTCCTGCACTGGGCTCCTTGCTCAGCAGGGAGCCTGCTTCTCCCTCTGCATGCCACTTCCCCTGCTTATGCTCTCTCTCTCTGACAAATAAATAAATAAAATCTTAAAAAAAAAAAAAAAAGAAATGAACACAGAGAGTCAAGCAAAACGAAAACATAGAGAAGTATGTTCCAAATAAAACAACAAGGTAAAAAGCTCAGAAAAATACCTTAATTTCGGGTGCCTGGGTGGCTCAGTTGGTTAAGCGACTGCCTTCGGCTCAGGTCAAGATCCTGGAGTCCCGGGATCGAGTCCCGCATCGGGCTCCCTGCTCGGCGGGGAGTCTGCTTCTCCCTCTGACCCTCCTCCCTCTCATGCTCTCTGTCTCTCATTCTCTCTCTCTCAAATAAATAAATAAAATCTTAAAAAAAAAATACCTTAATTTCACAGAGATAAGTAATCTGCCTCATAAAGAATTCAAAGCCATGGTCATAAAGATGCTGACCAGACTCAGGGGAAGACCAGATAAACACAGTGAGAACTTCAACAAAGAGATGGAAAACATCAGCAAGTGCCAAACATTAGTCACAGAGCTGAAGCACACACTGGAGGGTTCCCTGGCAGACCAGATGAAGCAGAAGAACAGATCAGCAATCTGGAAGGCAGGGCAGTGGAACTCACCCAAACAGAGCAGCCAAAAAAGGAAAAAAGAAGTAAAAAAGAAAAATGAAGACAGCCTAACAGACCTATGGGACAACATCAAATGGAATAACAATTCACATTACACGGGCCAAAAGGAGAAGAGAGAGAGAAAGGAGCAGAAAATTATTTGAAGAAATAATGGCTGAAAGTTCCCCAACGTGGGGAGAGAAACAGACATCCAGGTCCAGGAAGCCCAGAGAATTCCAAATAAGATGAACCCAAAGAGATCACATCAAGCACATCCTAATTAAATGTCAAAAGTTAAAGATAAAAAGAGACTCTTAAAAGCAACAAGAGAAAAACAACTTGGGACGTGCAAGGAACCCCCAGAAGACAACTGGCAGATTTTTCATCAGAAATTTGCAGCCAGAAGGGGTTGTGGGATGATAAATCCAATCCAAAGTGCTGAAAGGAATAAAGCTTCCAACCAAGAATACCCTACCCGGCAAGGTTATCATTCAAAATTGAAGTACAGATAAAGAGGATGGTAACAAGATCTACTGTGGCGATCACCTTGCAATGTATACAAATATCAAGTCATTATGACATACATCTGAAATCAATATAATGTCACAGGTCAATTATACCTCAACAAAATATTTTGTAAAAAATAAATAACGCAGGGTGCCTGAGTGGCTCAGTCAGTTAAGCATCTGACTCCTGATTTCAACTCAGGTCATGATTGCAGTCCTGGGATTGAGCCCCACATGGGGCTTCACACTCAGCAGAGAGTCTGCTTGAGATTCTCTCTCTGCCTCTCCCACTGCCCGGTCATGCTCTCTAACTAAATAAGTAAGCCAATAAAATCTTTAAAAACAAATACACAACACTACACAGGATCACTCTAATATTCCATGTGTTAAAATTCACTTGACTTTCTCTGAAAGAGATAAATTAAGCTCTAAAACAGGCACCTAGTTATGAAATCCAAATGCATCTTAACTCCTGGGTTAACCCATCCTTAGCCATTATAAACAAACACTTGTAAATTAAAGGGAAAAAAGAACCTTTTTATATAATAAAATTGATTTTTGAATTACTGTAACTTCCGAGTCTAGAAAGGTAGCCTCATATGAAGCCCTCTGTAAACATGCACCAGTTGAACTTGGCAGCGACAGTGCTTTGTCAGCAGCTCGTCTGGGGCCGAGTCTGCGGGGGCGTGAAGGCCCCAGCCATCTCACCTGTCCTCAAAGCACACGGTGCACTTCCAGGCATCGGTCTTCCTCAGGAACACTCGGCACTCCGAGCACACGCGGTGGCTGCAGCCCTTGCACACGGCCCCCCGGTTCAGCAGAAGCCCCAGCTCACGCTGACAGCGTGCACACGACTTCTCTTTGTACTCCGGGCTCACGCTCTTTGCTCCTTTCCACCGGAGATGCTGCAAGTGAGTCTTCAGTTTCCTGCGGCCCAAAGAGTCAAATGGTAAGTTATGACTGAAAGAAAGGACAGACGCCAGACGTACCCCTACATGGCGAGGGCCCCAACAGTACCACCCCCGGCAGGAGAAGAAACAAGGGGCTTTGGCATCCAACACACCCGGGTAACAACATGGCCGTGTGAACTAGGCATCTCACTCAATCTCTCCAGAAAGAGGCTCAGAGATTTTCTCCACAGTGAAACGGAGATGAGAAAGAGCTCACCTCCCACAGATGCTGGGAGGATTCAATGGCAAAGCCTAAAAAGTGGCCGGCACAGAGGAGTTAGTCTCTAGTTTGGTTCTAGGCTCATCCCTCCATGCCCAAAGGACATCGTCATGGTTAGCAAGGACAGAGAGAGAACAAAACAAAACACACACACGCACACAGAGAAAATGGCATCAATTTTAATATAGAAGGCATGGAAAGATCTATAAAGATATACATGCCTGCTATTGTCATTAAGTTATCCAATAAAATTATTTAACTGATGTTATGCTTTTGCTACTGTTTTTTTTAAAAAGACTTTACTTATATGACAGAAAGAGAGATAGTGAGAGCAGGAACACAAGCAGCGGGGAGTGGGAGAGGGAGAAGCAGTCTCCCTGGCTGAGCAGGGAGCCTGGTGCTGGGCTCAATCCCAGGATCCTGGGATCATGACCTGAGCCGAAGGCAGACGCTTAACAACTGAGCCACCCAGGCATCCCAGCTACTGTTTTGTTTTGTTTTTTGTTTTTTAATGGGTGGTCAGTTCACTTCCAGTCCCTATTTCCCCGAGATAATAGCCCAAGTGTGCTAAGGGACCTTACACTGGACCCCAAAGAGGTGTTATTAACCAGAACACTCTTGTATGAAATGTCTCGGCTAGCTACTTTTAGAAGAGAGAAGCCAATCCCAAAAAACAAGTGTAGTTCATTCAGTTTGCAGAAATTGCAGGATTGGCTCTACAGTCTGTACCCTCCGGAACAAAACTTCCTGACCACAGCATCCGAGTTACTTTGCTGATATTCAAAATGTTTCTAAATCACCAAAAGGCCTCTAATCATCAGAGACAATTCCATTTTGTTCAGTGTTTTTTATTTTGTAGTGGAAGAAAGTACAAGTACATTTAGGGAGTTTTGGGATAACAGGGAAGGACAGAAAAAAGACACTGTATCTTCCAGTTACCCCGCAAATTTCTCTCATTCCTCAAGCATTGGGTTGCCCCGAATTTTATTTATTTATATGTGTATTTTTCTTGGCAGACTCTGAAAGAGTTCCGCCGTTAAAAACAAAACAAAATCAAAAGCCTATTCCACGTACTTATTTTCCAGTCTTTGTGTCCTTTACAGACATTGAGAAACAAGGCATCGCCGTTTGTAAGGGTGGATCTGGACCGCTACCAATTGGCAGTTTTGATAATAGCCCTGCTTTATTAAGGGTTAACTCATACCAAACAGTGCGTGCAGCTTCCAGACAGACAAGGAAAGGAACTTCCTATTGACAGATCAGTCAGGGAACAGGCTGAGCAGGTTCATATTTTATACTCCCCCTCCCCTCAAAGCCAACTTGGAAGCAAAAGCACACTAAGAAAAAGACAGGAATGGACTGCAGCAGACCTGCTGTTTCTATGCTGCTTTCTCGGCTTTTCTATGTGCCTTCGGAGACCCCCACCAACAATTTAGGCAAACCTTCGCTGGAGGTCTTTCCCTTGAGGGGTATCGTAGAAGCCTGCAAACCTTCCTTTGAATTAGTCCCACGAAGTAGCAAAGGGACAAGCAGCACACAATACACCTAGCACAAAAAGGCACTATTCTAAGTCAATGACAAAAGCAGCCTCCCTTTGCCCTTACAGTGAGAAGCTCAGTTAGAGGGCAGGGCTACCTGGCCTCTACCCCTCACGGGGCCACTTGCAGAGGGGACGCCCGAACCCCCCGTGGCCAGCAAGCAGGTGGCAGCAGGCTGCAAGCAGGAAAACCCAGGGACTTGCACGCATGTGGAGGACAGCCTACCGGATCCTTTCCTCCTCAATGTTTTGAACCGCCTGGTCTCGGTACAGAACCTGGAGGATGACCTCGCGTTCCAACTCCTGGAGGGAATTCAGATTGATGTCCCGGGCCATTCCTTCTCTCGTGCAGAGACCTGAGCCGAGTGTCACTCCATGGCCGAGTACCCCTGTGCTGTGGGTGAGCTCAGAGCGCCCAGGAGCAGCCCCAAGTGCTTGAAAGTGCTCCTTCTCCTATATAGTGGCAACGGTTTGGCTTGTGACTCTTTTTTTTTTGTCCTTTTTAACTGTGTCACACTCCTCAGGAGAAGAAAGTTCCAAGAGACTGCCCCTCAGCTGGACTCGTGGCTCCCCGAGCCTCATGCCAACCTGGGGAGCCTTTCCACGGAGCCTTACTGCTGCCTCTGATGTCCGTCTAACCCCAAAGCATATCTGTTTTCTGAGGTTTTGCCAGAGATTGTTATAAATCAGACACGGCTCCAAGCAGATAATTTCTGCAAAGCAGAAGTGAGCCCCAGTCGGCGGGAACTTAGAAACGGCAGCAGAAGCGTATCGAGGACATTCAGATGCTAACCTTCCCCTCCAATGCCTTCAGGTCAGCAGTTATGGTCATTAAAAGCCCAGCCAGTTGAAAGCCTGTAGAAAGGAACAACAAAATGACCTCATTTTCCTGGCTTGTGCATGTCTGCGGCATCACTTCTGGACACACAAAATGTTCCACACAGACCTTTGCACCTTCTGCCATCGTGATAATGTAAGACTTTAAATTTTATTAAAATTGGCCTTCTCGTGTTTCTAAAAGCCACACTTCTGAACTTGAATTATTCTTGAATTATTCGTATCTCCAGTGATCAGAGAAGCAAAAAGGTCCATGTTTAACGGTTATCATCCTAATGGAAAATACATTAGAAGACTCAATGTGCCCAACACTTAGCTCTTATTTTTACAATTAACTTCAAAACTCAAAAAAAGTAGGAATATCCCACAACCTCTATCTATCAATTATTTATGGTTTTTAATGGTTTTCAAGGATGTCACATGCATGGGGTCTTGTTTCTGTCTAATGCTGGTTGAAAGGTTCTGCATACGTTCCCCCTGCTTTTTTTTTCCCCATTGGAGACACTGGGCTCACATGACCTTCAATTTGTTCCTCCCCCACCCCAACCAAGAAGATGGTGTTGAACTGATAAAACACACTGGCTAGATGCATATCATTGAAAAGCAGAAAGTGTAGATCAAAGCAATATACTTTCTGTAATGCCATTTTTTAATCAAATCTACATGAATTCCTTAGTAATAAGACTTCCTTTCAATGCTTTAGAAGCTAAACTTTTGTTGGGCTTCAATAGAAATCCACATTATATTAATTTATGATCATAACAAATCATTGAATAAGGGGTTAATAGAGCCCTAAGGGATCATCTTCTGTAAGAAAAGAAAGGGTTAAGAATCTCTGCTTAATCTTTGGTAGTCTGGTGAAGCCTGTGTATTTAATGCATAAAATAAAATACATTGAATTACAAAGGAAATCATTTATACTGAAATGTTTTACTATAATAATATCTATGTTCACTGATGCATGAAATAATGAGATCTAGCAGTGACCTAACAACTACTATAATATCAAAGTAATGATGATTATAAGTAATATTTTGAGCTATCTACAACATACATCGTGGTATGAAAATATGTGTGATTTCTATTAGTGACAGTTACCAGTCCTGCTAGTTCTACTCTGGTTTGATGCCTGTATTCATAATGGAAAGAAATGTTAATTTTTAGTTAGAGGTAGATAAATAAAGAAGTAATCTTTTTCCAAACCAAGTTCATGGCCCTATAGGCTAAGGACTCATGGCTTAAGGGATTCTAGATTTGTCAGTTGCTCTATTGTGGGACAAAGTTAAAATGCACAGCTCGCCCAAATGCACAGGTTGCATGAAGAGTAGGAAGTCGCAGAGCTCTGAAAGGGGCACTCTTGGCCTCTCGTCTTCAGGGAAGTACTCACCAGTGCCTGTCTTCAAAAGGCTTCCTATCCAGAAGATGGAAAAATGACCAAGCAGCAAGGACTCTGGGCTCTAGCCCAGGCTGGCTGGTAATCACTGTTATGACCAGTGCAAAGCCTCAATCCTCCTTGGTCCCCAGTTTCTGGATGAACAGATGGAACTTGCAGATCTCAGTTCCCCGAGGCTCTGAGTCTCTGGAAAACAGGAAAGCAATATGCAATAACGTATCATCAAGTAACAAGTGGTAAGGTGCAAATTGGCCGATATGTCGCCAACTTTATGAGCCTATTTCTTCTAAACTTGCCCCTTGGCTCTTCCTCCTTCTTATTTACCACTGGGCCAAGAACTATACAGTTGCCCCGATTCTCAAGTATTTTCAATGAAGATTTTTGCATTTGGCTCAAAACACTTGATTTGTGTGCACCGAGCTTTCTTTTCACGGGGTTTCTGTGCTCCACCCTCTGGCTCTGATCATGTGCTACAGGGGTGGAAATGACATTAACAAGGGGACTCATTGGGGGAATTCTGGCACACGCAGATGTTTACTCATCCAAGTGGTTGGGTTTTACAGAAATACAGGATTCAGTTATCATGTAAAAACACTCCTCATACTCTATCAAATTCATGGCTATGGGCCTCCAGTGGGAAGGGTCCTTTTCATGGATGAGAGGGAGCTCATCCTCCCCGCAGTGGCCATTCACTCCTACTTACGGAAAAGTAAAATTTGGGTTGTTTCTCAGATCCATCCATCCATCCATTCAGTAAATATTTACTGAGCACCTTCCAAGTGCCACACACTGTTCAATGCTTAGAGCACATGACTTGATTGACTGGTGATTTACACTCTATCCCATGTGTAAGAAGACTATGATGTTGCTTACAATAAAAGCACAGAGAGGACAATTAAAGTCAGAGAGACATCAGCAGTCAGAGTGGAAAGGTGAGATCATTCTACCAGAAATCTGCAGTGAGACAGTCACCGTGCTTGAGTATTAGATGTATTTCTGACCTTCCTAGTAGCCAAGGCAAAACCAAACAAAATGAAACAAAACAAAACAAAACAAAAATCAAGGTGATGTATATCATTCTGATAAACTGAAGGAAGATGAGAAGGACCTCCTTCTCATAGGTATAAAGGGCATAGACTGAGAAAACAATCAATTATTTGAGCCATGGTTCAGCAGAAGAAGCAAAATTATGCTTGAGGGATCATTATTATATTGATCTTAAAGCTAAGAAGCTAGAACCAAATCATAATTCACTGAAAGCATTTCAAATAGAGATCAAAACATGGTGCTTCCTGATATTCCAAGGTGATGTTGGCATAAAGCTTAGAAAACCAGAGGATCAGTGTTTGGTATCCATCCCCCTGTGTTTTTTATTCTTGACTTTCAGATATTTGATCCTAGCTTCTGTAAACCTTCAGCCATTCAAGCACTTGGTTAATATTTACTACCAGTAAAGCCTTCTATCATTAGATGGAAATGTACTTTTTCCTTTAACTTGAAGGATCTGCCTCTAGATCCTCTCTAAACAAGGGGTGACTTTTTTAAATGATGCTATTGGTACTGCAGGGAGCATCACGCCAGGGTCATAAATTGGTTCTGTTCATCGGGCATCACCACAGGATCTTTCACAGCAAGATTTCACAGAAACTGAGGAAGACGTTTTCTCTTTGGTGTCCAGGGACCTCCTAGTGTCCCACCTGGCTTGGTGGCTTAGATATTCCATTTACCACATTTGAGCCACGATTGCTTCATCTCATTGGGACTCACCCAGGATTTTCACGGGGGCAGTACCACACTTACATCTTTAGAAATTTGTGGGGCACTTCTGGTTGTCACAGTGACACAAAATTGTCTTGCATCCCCATGCAAATGTTGACTACCTTACCAGATAATTCAATTAGAAAAAAATTTTAATTATCTGATAAAATGTAACTCTTATATGAACACAAAGTGTATTTTGCAGGATTTTAATATACTCTGAGTTTTCCAGGATGCAACTATTGTGTAGATTGAAGGAAAACTGAACTTTGTTTCACTTAGAACTTTAGTATATGTGCTGCCGAAGCGAGCACTCACTTAGAACTTTAACAAGAATTGTTTATCATTGCAGAAAGTTGCATTACCAAAGGCAACATTGCTTGTAGTATCTGAAAGACTCCTGCCCTTTGCTGGTTAACAATCTGCATTTGTAAATGTCATATTCAACATGACTATTTACATAAACATCTGACAACTTCACTGGGTCTTCTAATGTAGTTTACATGTCCAAGTTCACATTATATGGTAATTATAAATATATATACAGTCCTCTTATTTCTCCTTTTTATCATGATAATTGCATTGTAGTAGAAGTAGTGTGTAGGTAGGTTACAGTATACATGAATTCTGGTTCTGGATAGTAAAAGGTGAACTACAATATATTTCCTATAGTGAGTGAGCATGGAGTTTCATAGTTTTAAGGGGAGCCTAGGTGGCTCAGTTGGTTAAGCGTCTGACTCTTGATCTCAGGGCTGTGAGTTAAGCCCCACATTGGGCTCCACGCTGGGCATGGAGCCTACCTAAAAAAAAAAAGTTTCATAGTTTTAAGAACCACTGAATTAGAAGACCCAATCATTTCTAAGGTCGCTTACAAATTAAGTTATATAATTCTCTTGTTCATGTTTCAACACATTATTGGGTTTGTAGGAGAATGGGGTTTGGGAAAGAGAGAATGGTTGGTTCTCATTGGTTGTTTGGTGTTTTGTGTTTGGGAGCTTCAGTTTATGAATTTGCATATGCAATTTTGGACCTGATCTCCAGGTTGTAGTTGAGAGCTCAGAGTTCTTGCAATGCAAAATCTTTGAATTATTTTAGCTGCATTTTTTTCAATCCTCTTCAATCGAAGTTCTGGGGCTCTTTCTGCACTTCATCCCAGTGAGGCAGGCATTTGAATTCTTAGAAGTTTTGTATCAACTGCCAACTTGGACAGTCTACTGTGTGATCCATCTTGCAAATCACTCAAAAACGCTTCACTGAAACTGTTCTTAGCTCATCATCTACTTATCCAAGACAAAGTGCCCCCAGACCCCTGGCAACAATTTACTTATTTTTAATTTTTTAAAGTTTTGTTGTTGTTTTTTAGTGAACTTCCTAGCCAATAGAGGTTTCTAGGGTGGCAGATGGAGTCAGTGGGCAGCACAGGTCCATGGTGAACACCAAGAAAATCAGAATTTCAACCACTTCCTGGTATTCTCGGGGTACGTACACCTTTACAAATTCCATTCCTAGTCACCTGTAGTAGAAACCATGTTGGAATATTTGTCATATTCTCTGAAACACGGGTAAAACAAATACACTTCTTGCATGGATGTTTTGATTGATGTGATGTTTTGAAGTAGAACATGGAGGTAGTAAAAGAATGACATGAAATCTATGAAAATCGGTTGTGTGTTCCTCGCGTTGTGTTACATATTATTGTCTAGGATGACAGAGTCAGGTGAGAGGTTCACATTTGTAAGCCTCACGAAGTGGGTCACAGGGAGAGCTGCTGGGGGGCAGAGGGGATTGTGCCCACTGGCTTGCACGCTGATGGCTGTCACCCACGGGAGCAGTAGTGACAGGAACTGAGTGGATGGCGAGGAAGAGGGAGAAGGCAACAGGGGGGACAGGGTAGCCTTCATGGCAAAGGTGAGGCCCGCTGAGCCTGGGGGAGGAGGAGAAGCTGGTCTGAGGAATGGAAAAGGGGTCTCTCTAGGTGGGGACGGTGTATGTACCAATATGGGGTGGAAATGTGGCATTCTTCCACTAGCATGGGAGCCCAGCTTGTCGACTGCCCATAAACAAGCTCCGAAACACAAACGTAGTCTTCCTGACCCCCCGATCTGGTGTCTTCCTACTTCTGCATCCCCACTTCCCTGTGAGTGCTCCGATGCTCCCGTCGTGAACTCATTCAAGACTATTCCCCAAGCACATCATGCATCTGCTCCTGCTCTTCCCTCTGCCCACCAAAATCTAATCTACTCCTAGGCCCTGAGGGAACAGTCAGGAAAGCAGGTGTGGAGCCTGGCTGTGTGGGGGAGTAGCTCAGCTCTGCCCCTCACTAACTGCTGGGCGAGTTACATAAATTGGTTGGGATTCAATTTCCTTGCCTATCCAGAGAACTACTGCACCTACTTCACAGAGTCGTTGTGAGGATTAACCGTGTTGATACATATCCAGTTCTCAGATCACTATGGCAAGTGTATAGTAAGCAGTTGAAAAATATTAGCTCTAATTGGCAGTAGTGGTAGTAATAGTATCATTATCAATATTAATCTTTCAAGGTCCAGATTTTTTTTTTTTAAAGATTTTATTTATTTGACAGAGAGAGACAGTGAGAGAGGGAACACAAGCAGGGGGAGTGGGAGAGGGAGAAGCTGACTCCCCGCTGAGCAGGGAGCCCGATGCGGGGCTCGATCCCAGGACCCCGGGATCATGACCTGAGCCGAAGGCAGATGCTTAACGACTGAGCCACCCAGGCGCCCCTCAAGGTCCAGATTAATTGCTACCTAATTCAGGCTTTGTCCTTACTTACAATCAAAATTAGTCACTCCTTCTTCATTATAACACTGTTCGTTCTCCTTTGTATACTTCTCTATTGGGACCCTGACTTCATTCTGGCTTGTATTCAAGAGTCCATTCTAGTGGTGACACCGGGATTTAGTGATCCCTCACCACCCAGAAAGTAGGTCCTTAATGGTTGGCGTGTGTTGAGAAATGCAGTGAATGTTGTGACATGTGGGTTTGCTTGCAAAGCAGGAAGCGTGAATTCAAGCAGAGTAGGAAGTCATGATAGTCAGGTGAGCAAGCAAGCACCCAGTTCTGAAAGCTTCAGCGTTTGGGAAACTGAAAAGCACAGGAAAATCTGAGTTATTTTGGAATTTGAGAAGCATGCTCCCAAGTGTTGTTTTAATGATCTCATGCAGAAAGTCACAGCCTCCTAGCTGGAGGGATGAAGTGTCCCAGAGCCATTTTTCGGAGATGCTCTTTATGCAGTCACTGTCCCATTCACCTGGCAGATTCTTAAATTGCATTTATTTTGCCCCAAGGAAAGAAGTCGGGCTCTGTTCTTACCTACAGGGAGCCCCGACCTCCTTTTTCCATTGCACGTTTGTAATTTTGCAGTGCTAACTACCTTTGCTTACAGCACTCCACCTACCAGCCTAATT